TGATTCCTCTAAAGAACTTAGTATGATATGTGTGAAGTATCCCTTGCTGTTGAAGTGAGTTGGGACACTTCATGGTGACATACATATCTATTTTTGAATCCCTCCACATTTAATTTCATCCTGGCTTCTTTAACAAAATAATAAAATAAGCCTACTTGCAGAAAAGTGAATGATACTGTCTTGATAAGCACAGTAATTTCCTAGGATTGCTTTGTATGCTTCTCACATTCAGTTACTGGAAATGCTTCAGATTTTCTTAAATGTTTGTATGATTTCAGTATAACTATTCATATATGTGCCTTTGCAGAAGCTTATAGATTATCTTGGCAGGACTGTAATCTAAAGGGATTAGAAGAACAAACATAGAACAAAGTCATATATGATTCTGGAATGCAGGTGTATATTGATAACAACAGAGCTTTTGTGAATTAAATTAATTAATTAGACGTTGTAAGGCCTTATTTGAAATATCATCATGAATTTCTTGAAGTCAAGTTTTATGCCCCTGTTATAAAGCATTAATCAGTAGATTAAAAAAAAAAGAAAGAAAAGAAAAAAGGCAATAAGACATTTAGAAGATTTGAGAGTAAATTTTAATGGAATACATCTACCCTGTAGTTAGAGTTGACTGAAGAGTCYGGGATACAGTGCAGTCCTAGTTCTTGGGAAAGAATGACATAGGGAGGATGGAATGTACTTGAGTTTTGACCAAATATATGAAGTATTTAGGAAGCATAGGCCTTAATCTAAAGGGAGACAAACATTAAATTRTAGGAAGGTATCTTAATGGAAAAAGCAGGCAAACATTGGAACATCATTGCACAAGCCATTAAGGCATTAAGRCATTTCAAAAGAAGTATTGAAAAGGAAATTAGATAACTAATTCAGTGTACCTAGKAGATACTAGATTACAACAGCAACTCTAGCATGCTCCAAGAGATCACTTTGACTCTAAAATATTATTTGTTTAGTATGGTAATGTTTTCTGAAATGCCCTGGAGTCATCTTTCAAGTATATCGTTTTAATATATTTTACAGGATATATATGCTTTCAGGGCTATGAGAACTGCATATAAAGCCCTACAAGATATTGAAAGTATGCAAGCAGAGATATAAAACTATGTTTTATTCTACTCCCTGCTGTACTGCATAAAGTGTAGGGACTACTATTTCCTGGCATTGTATATTCTTTAATATATTTGGAACAGTGTCTTTGGAGGCTGTTTAGTAAATTAGTGTTGATGATCAAGAAAACCTCTCCAAGCAAGAGACTGGAGAGAAGATGATGAGTCAATAAAACATGGAATATTTTCATTTAGGATAGATGGTGACCCAAGAACAGAAACTACTGTATCTGCTATAAGAGCCTACAGACCATCACTGCTATAGTCAYCTGAAGGATTCTGAGTCTATACAGAAGCAGATGAGGCAACTGAATCACTACAAGATGATTTTTAATTCATTTCAGATTAACGTACTAAGATTTTCTCAACTAATCTTGCTCCCTGAGGACAGAGAGGGAGAACTTAGTGGCAGAGCTCAGGGGCTCAATGGTGTTCAGGTGCCCCTGGACACCTGTGAATGACCACTTTGCCTACCCTGACTGTTGCCATAATTCTGAAGATTGATTCAGCTAGGAATTTTCTCTAGTTTGTTTCACCTGTAGGAGGAATCTTCTTCTGTAAAAAGAAATACAATTTTATCTCAGCCCTCTTGTGTCCTCATGGGCACCTTTCTGAATTTCATATTCAGGACTTGATGAGAAAAATGTCAAACTGGTTCTTTTCAGGCATTCTCCCTACTAGCTGTGATTTACTAGGCAGAATGAGAGTAAAGATACTTCTTTATTTTATGAAATGATAATCTCTAATGCACTGGTAGGCTCTTCAATTGAATTATCATAATCATAATATTCAGAAATATTCTGATATTTTTGGATGTGCAGCTTTCCAAAGGAAAGCACTGGATTCTTAATTCTAATTTATATTTCCATACTCCAACAGAAACATAGGATGAAAGCAGTTTACCAGAGGGGACACTAGTASAGAGTCGATATTGGTTGTTCTTACTGATATTCCTATGACCATATTGGTGCTGATTTCTGGAAAATATAGGAATCTCATATTGCTTCAGCATCTATTTCATCATATTCAGAAGACAACAATATTTTGTCCTTTTCATACAAAGATAATTTCTTTACTGGATAATTGTTAGTGTCTATCTTTGACTAGTCAGTATGTACAGTTTTGAGAATTTTACTATAGTGCTAGTGCAAAAGTAGTCTTCCAAATACTTGTCTTAATCTGAGATGCTGGGATGCAGCTCCCTCAGTGCACTCTATTTTCTTCTCTTTCAGCTGTCATCTTGTTAAAATCATTTTAATACTTTCACATATATAAAAATAAGAAAGTAAATGGTTTACAATTTAGATTCTCACGTAAATAATAACTTTTTGATAATGTGCAAAAGGTTTAGAAGTGTCAGCATGCTTTTGGAATAGTCTAAAAGGGAATTCTCTTTTAGAGTAAATTCTTTCCTGAAAAGCTGTTGTTAATGCCAAAAGATGATTTGATGCAGGATGAAATCTCTCTACGTGAATATACTAGATGCCATATATGCATTTATTACTGTTTAAAAAAAAAATAGCATTAGATTCATCTACATCTTTTGGGGATTCTCCAGATTCTTTTCGTCATGTAATATTCCCTTCTCTAGGAGTCATCAAAAGTAGAAATACTTGAAGTATCTTTTTATTTCTCCTCTGTACCATCAGCAGTAACTTTCCTTCTTAAATTAGAATTGAAACCAAAGTTGTTCCCAAGGGGAGACATTTTAGGCCCTTCTTGTAAGAGCCAAGTATAATTTTTTGTGCTTTCACTCTTTCTAAAAATGAATCATGGAGCGTTTTCCCCATTGATGTTTGKTAAACAATTCTTTGTAAGTATAGCGTGGTGTGGGAGGAAAAGGGGGGGAAAATAGCCAGTTCAGATACTGCTGCTATAACCCATCACGTTTTGAAATGATAGAAATCGTTTTATCCTGAAAATATGATGATACACATACTAAAGGAATGTCCTAAACTAGAGCACACTACCTTCTGTTTCCAAAAATTGTTTAACTGTGAGTTAAACGGTTCTGTAGTAGAATTGTTTCTTTCAGGAATTCTATCTAAAGAAAGTTAGTGATGTTAGTCCAGTGTAAGATATCAGTGCTTCTTGTATCCAGGATCTGTGTGCAGCTTCTCTTTCACATCATGCAGTTTTACAACAAATTATATCTTGCTTTTCAGGATCGACGCATAGAGGAAAGGAAAAAAAAAATGTCTAAGCTGCCAGTTTTCACTAGTTTTCATATACAAAGCAAGGCAAGGCTTTCATGCAAAGCTATAAGTCAGCCCAGATTCACTCAACACCGGGCCCAGGTTCACTCAAAAGGGCTGTGAGTCCTCCCAGACCTTTTGAAGAATCTGGGCTGAGTTTCAAATCAGTAATGAAACCCGTAATCAGGCCAGCTTCATGTGCTCTTGAGTTGCCTTGAGAACACTTACCCAGCCCTTCCTCTAGTTTCCTGGGGTTTGCTGGGATTTTTTTTTATTTTTATTTTATTTTTTTTAACCAAAATGATAATGGTTTCTAAGGCTTCAAATAATCATTAATAGATAYAGTATTTGCTGCTGTGGTAATCCAGGCCCTGCTCACCATACTCAGAGGATTATATACAAGCATTTTGCAGGGTCAGGCCTGTAGTTCTGATCATTATACCGACTGAGAGGAAAAAGATAGAAAACTCCATTTGTGTATCTTTACTACATGTTTCCTGTGCCTATTTTAGGTTTTAGGGTGTGTTTATATAGTGGTTTTGATCTAAACATTATAACAGTAAAATAGTTATTATTTTTGTTCCCTAATAATTCTGTTCTCACTAGTGCCAAATTTCCTACACAGTGTAGATCTGTGTAGGAAAGTAGAATGATGAAAAMATAGTGTAGAAGTTTGTGCCTGTTTCCTCAGTTTTTCATATAGATTCTGTGGAATTGGCATTTGTCTTTGGAAAAGATCGAGCTGTTTACCCTAAAGCTCACTGACTCCCTGAACCTTTCCTCCAAAGTTAGCAGAGTGTTAGTATAGTAGAACAAAGAGAGGAATAAAGTTCCAAACTAAAAAGCTTTTGACTAAAATATGCAGATCATAAATTGAACTTTATCCTCCATGAATGTATACAGTGTATTTACAAATCTTAGCTAAGGATACATGCAATTTGTACTATCTCTTTGCACATTGATAATGTCAAATTTCTGCTTTCTTGTAGATTTTGTATATCAAAAGTCCCATATGAATTAAACTGTGTACAAAAACAAAATGTAAGAAAATATATGAAAAATAGATCATTTTCATGAATATGTAATAGTGACAGTTGAGTATTTTGAATTTTCTTCATGCAATGGTAATTTTCTTTAACCTTATAAAAASAGCCAGGTTTTCAATCTATGTGCACAGTGGTTCTGATACTCAAGTATTTAATAAAACATTTCTTTTTTAGGAATGCCCATTCCTAAACTAAACTTTTTAGGGGAAGATAGAATCTGGACTCGTGTTTTTGTTTTGTTTTGTTTTTTTAAATTTTCAAGAAACTATTAGAATAGGTGGGAGGCTGAACTTATCTACTTTTCACTCAGATTTTTTCCTTCTCTTGGTAGATAAATTCCTATGTTCATTAAGTTTTCAGAGTTACTTTCATGTGTTGGTTGCTGTTTATATTACAGAGGGATTTTTTAATTTTATTTTTCTTAAAATTTTCTTTGAGATATATTCATGGGGATGTAATTCAGGTAGCTTTCTCAGATTTGATGTAAATGAGTCTTTTTTAAATGGAAAAAATCTTCAGGTGTTTTTAATATAATAATAGATACAAGATGTGTGACATATTTACAGTGAACATTATCATAAAACAGCATCTGTATCTCCCGTCTTGTAGTAAATTCTTTTCCTGTACTTTTACAGCTAAAGTAGACCAAGAAAATGAAGAGAAGTCATTGACAGAAGCGCATAAAAGGTAAGAAAAAACAATATAATAAAATTCTTCCTTCCTTTGATTTTTTTTTTTAAAGTTGCTGTTTTGGAAGTAAAAAATCAAGTGATATCTATTTATTGTCAAGTTTATTTTGATCATTAGAAAAGAAAAAATGAAAAAAGTAAAAACAAAGGTAGCAAGCRGTCTACCTTTAGAAAAATCTTGTATGCAAGTCTGCTATGTCTGAAAACGCATCTTCCTTATGTAAAAATGAATTGTGACAATTGATTGACAATTCCAGTTGACAGTTTGATTGAGCAACAACTGTTCATTTTTCACCAGAATAACGGTGATTTGACAGATGCATAGCATTCACCAGACAAGTATTATTCACTAAGTACTACTTCCTGTGCTTGTAAAATACCTGCTTAAGATAAGGAATGGAAGTCTGCTTTTAAAATRGCAATGATTTGTATAATCGAATGTGACTGCCTTTGTAGAAATGTTAATAGATCTTCAAATAATTTTTGTGAGAAAGAAGAAAGCAAAATAGTTTATTAAATCTCATTATGGATGTGATCACTTGAGAGTATTTTCAAAACTGGGAAGGTCACTCTGTTGCACAACTGGTGATTTCTTCTGATTTTTTGCAGTGTTCTCCAGGAGCAGTGTTAAAATGGGACTGATTTTCATCTGTCCCAGCAAAAGACCAAAATACAACACACACCATTTATAGTCCAGATTTAGTGAAACTGGCAGTCTGCATTTGTTTTCCTTTCACTAAAAATAGCTTTTTGTTATAACAACTGCCACTGAATATATGTTAATGAATACAGCTGGGAGCGCTCTCAATAGGAGGCAAGTGAAGTGGGCTATTAGAAGAGATGCTATTTTTACTTTTCTRTGCTGTGTTAGCCAGTCTAAGGCTCTGATAGGCCCATATAGTCACCTGCTCTCCTGTCCCAGCACAGGTGATTCTCCCTACCCACCCCTAGCTTCTTTTTATTCTCCATTTCCATGCACCAAAGACAGCACCCACAAAGCAAAAGGGAAAGAGGAGGTTCCTCTGTCAGAGGGAGCTCCCTCCTTTTTTGCAAGGAGATGGCATTACCATGGGTAGGACATCTGTGATGTGGGGTCCTGACATTGAATGGGTACAGAGGGGGAGTAATGCTTTGGCTTAGTATCGTACCTTCTTACTCCAGTATATGAAAGGCATTCTTGAAACTCCTTCAACTTGTTTAACTGCTGAATTACATAATTCTTATTCTTAAAGATCTCCTTCAAAGTAAAATTTAGAGAGAAGAAATTGTTAAGAAGATGTTTTTGTTGATCTCTGTGAAATTACTCTGTTAAGGAATTTGGTTTTGCTAATGGAAAATCGATTTGCTTTTATGTCCAAAGCTGAGAGATTCCTAAGAGCAAGGAGAATGAATCCACGATGTGTTCAGAAAGCTTGTGGCTTGCTCTTGTCTTCTGGCATCTAGTTTATTCTCTGTCCTGATTTTCTCCCTGAAAGCTCTGAAACCACAATATCAAAAAGTTCCTAGTGGCATAGCTAAGCTCCACAGTATAGGGGAAGAAAGAAACTGCTCCCTCATTCAGGTTGGCCCACTTTTTTGTATTTGTCCTACTGCTTTCTTCTCCTACTGCTAGGAGTGCAGTAGCTCCTTCACACAGTACTTTGCCAAAGAAGGAATTTCTGCTTCATTTTTCTTTACTGTGAATGTCTCACAAGGATAGCAGTAGATATGAAAGATTTAATGGAAAATGTGAGGAATTATGCTTGGACCTAAAACATAATATTTAGAAACAAAGATATTTTTATTATTATCCAGACTTTCAGGCTAGATTTCTTTCTTTCTCTCTCTGTCTCTCTTTTTTTTTCTTTTCTGTCCATTATCCCACTGAAATTCTTAATCCATACAGTGGCATTGGTTAAAATATTGAAAGTAGCTTCGCGATGCATCTTTAGTGTCTGTGTTTAATTATTTTAAACCTGTTTGTTACTGTTTATTACACTAAGATCTTCAAAGGTTGCGATCTCTTGTCTGGGGGGAAGAGAGGAGTGTGAAAGAGAAGATAGCTTAAAAAGCTAAATAAAAGATTAGTTACATTTGGCTAATCATAGGTAAAACAGCAATGCATAGGATGACTAGACAAGCAAGTAATGCAAGGAAAAGTGATGGATTAGATGGAGCAAAATTAATGTGATTAATGTGCTTGGATTTTTCTTTTTGAAGTAGATAAATTCAGCCAGTGTGCAAGTTCACTGCTACCCCATGGTTGCATTTCGTTAGCTTTCAGTAAGAGCTGCAAATCTTTTCTTTTAGCTTGAACGTGGCGTATTAAAGCTGTTATCTCCATAAAAATGCRAAACTCCAAGAGAAAAGCTCTTGCAGCAATAACAACAAAAATGTTTCTAAAATGAATAATGATTTGGGGAAAATGCAGCAATGTGTATTTTAAAAAAGCTCAGTTATGCAATAGAAGAGCTGAAATGGAAAGTTAATCTTCCACACAAAATAAAGACAAAGAAAATGGAATGTCTGCTCCGGAGACTCCATGCAGTATATAGCTGTTCATTTGTCACAAGTGCGAAAATGTTTAATCAGTTTTGAAATGATGTATTCTCTTGTTATTTATCGTGTTTAGTGATTTTAAGAGTGTCAGTATGTAAAGTGTTTATCCAAGGAATGGATTTCTGGCACATGGATAAAATGAAAAGTGAAATGTTTAGCTCACAATAGGCACATGTTCCAAGATCTCTCYGAGTAAGTATCCTGAGATGAGAAGAAAGCACACAGGTCTGTGTTTATCTAGCTTACGCAGGCAGACAAGGAAGGCTCCAGCCTGGTATTAACACTGAAGTGACATGGAATGTCTTCACCAAACCCCAAACAATTACATCATTCCCCTAACAATATTGATAAAGTGCAATAAAAAGAACCTGGCACTTTCCAATTAGATCCTCATTGCTAAATACTTGAGAAACTGTCAAGTACTTGACAAGTTAAAGTAGAAATCAGTGTGAAGAAATTGAAAGACTAGAGGGAGAGAAGGAACCAAAAAAAAAAAAAAAAAACCACACTTCTATATTTTAGGAGTCCCTGATTTGGGTTTTTTTTTTTTTCATTTTTATATCATACTAGATGATTTGCTCTTTATCCCAAGACACAAGGCTAAAATGCTGTGAAGTTTAGCTGTAAATATCAGCTAAACTTTACGGCTAAAGCTCACCCTTTTTGAAAACTGRAAAACACAGAGCCTTTTTCACCAAGCAACAAATATATATATTCCTCTTTTATTTTCAGACACTTAGTTTTAAAAAATGCTGGTCTTTCAATGAGGCATTTTCTCTAAGCAGGGGGATATATTAGGAGTACTATTGTTTTCGGGGACACTTAAAGTGATTTTAGGAGGAGATACATTTTGATCACGGTATCTACAGCAAAAGTTGTATAACAGCTGATGTTCTTTGTGCCATGCAAGGACAGAAGACAGGCAGCARCAGCCATGTTATCTTGATATCACATGAACAAAAATGAGCTTGACACTCCTCCTCATACACTCGGTGAAAAAAAAACAGCTAATCAGCCTCGTAGATTTACCAGAAACAGCATTTGGTGAAGCAGAAGTTCATGACTGTAGGCTTTGCTACCCTTTATCCAACTGAATAGCTGGGAAAGAATAGCATAACTTTATTTCCTTGTAATACCTTGCACGATATATTTAGTTCTGACCTCCATGGAAAATTTCCAGATTAAGAATTTATGTGTTTTTTAGAATAAAACAAAATCCAAATTGTAACACTGATTCTTCTTCYACTTGAGTAGTGAGTAAGAAATATTTTCTTCTCTTCCCTCTGAAATGATACTTTTATTCTTGGATTAATTCCTTGGGATTCATTGACAAATTGAATTGGGGATGTTTATTTTAGACCTGGGAAACATTCAGATCATTTTAAATTCTTCCCGTTCTCTCTTGGGGGGGTGAGGGGGGGGGAAGGCATCAGTTTTTAAGGTACAGTAGCAACTAGGCTGATTTAATAAGCTTTGAATGTAGCCAAATCATAACTGAACCGTACCACGTTCAGAGGACCTGACATTTGTCAAGAACAATTAGTTGCTCTGAAATGTTCTTGGTTTTCATTTACTCATAAAGCCTGTACATTTAAGCACAGGCAGCCTATTTAAGAGCCTGTGCATTGTTGAGAATCTCTTAAATGTTGCAGATTCTTTTATTTCTGGTATAGAAGGTAGTATATCCCTGCATGAAGCAATAACATAGGTCACTAGGGCAAAATGCTCCTTTTAATGGTGGCTTGCTTTTTGGTGAAAGTATTCACTTTTTTTCCTAATGTGATTCGTAATGAGTACAGAAATGCTGCCTGTTTTCATGACTTTTACTCTATCATTGAAGTTAGTGAATCTGATAATCTCCTCTTATAAAATCTTGATGCACTCTGATAGTCAAGCATTCATATACTTGTTTTGTAAAAAGTCAAACTTTCTGCCTTCTGATGTAACTGTCAGCTTTGGAGTTTGAGATGTGTGTGGCTGAGTATGGAACACCTTCCCATGTCAGGATGTTTTTTATTTGGCTTATCTTATAATTTACTCACATTACTTTATACATTCCGGTGATTTTTAGGCTTTTAAGTGCTTCCTGAGCGCTGTCTCTCAGGTACCTCTTCTGTTTTGAAAACTTCTAATAATCCATTTAGCAATGTTTTGTCGCTTACTTTGCTGTAGCAACAAATGACATTAATTTTGGACAGGAATGTTTACCTTTAAATTCCCTGGAAAAGAGGAAGGGAGGGGGGTGGAAAAAAAAAGGGGGGGGGGGGGGGGGGGAAGAAAAAAAGGTGCTCCTGCCACAACACTCATCAGATCCCCATTGCCTCCAGTGCACATTCAGGCTTGGAGAGGAGCAAAGCCTTACACCTGCACACAAGCTGACAAGCTGATGACACGCAGTGAAAGAGCGCACAGTGTGGTACAATGGCACTGCTGACAGCAACACCTGGAAATGTAGCACCT